TAATGGAGTGATAATCAACAACATTTACACATCCCAAAGAATTCATATGTAGACGAAACATTACTTATGAGAAAGATAATCTATGCAATCATGTCATATTTACTAAAGATATATCACTGAGGATAAAGGGAGGACAAGAAATTAAATGCGTTTCCTCCAGGAAACTTCAGCGCAGCGTATCCGAGTCCTGAGTCCATAGACACTTGAAATGGGCTCACACGAGCAGAAGTACCCTCACAAAAACACACTTTGACCATAGAATTCCTGTATGGCCAGAAATATACACATACGCGCACATTCATTCGTATACAGACGCAAACATAAACACATTCGCCATGATGCAGAAACATTTACTCATAAGCATTAATACACAAGCAAGCAAAATTAAACAATTTTCATCTATTCACACGCGGACGTATTACAGGCCCAGAGAGACGCTTTTTATTATTGGCTCGGTTATATATACATATAAATGCGTGTTTTAGTATGTATGTGTTTGTGCACGTGCATGCATGCAGAATGAATTATACCACACACATATACAAATGCACACATGTAAGTACATATATATGAATGTGTGCGTGTCCACGCACACACACATATATTTATATGTGTTTATGTATGCGTGCGTGTGTACAGATACAGATACACACATAGAAAAGACACACACACACACACACACACACACACACACACACACACACACACACACACACACACACACACACATTTCATACGAAATGGTATTTGTCTTCCAACCAGAGGCTCTAGAAGTTTTCTAGGAAAGACTGTGATAATTTTAGTAATCTCCTTTATAATCGCCTTAATCATCAGAGCTGTAGTTATAATTCTTGCTTCGCTTTTGGCAAAGAGAGAGAGAGAAAAAAAACTCCCCTTCCGAATGGGGTTTGATCCTAAAGGGTCCGCTCGACTTAAATTTTCTCTACGATTTTTTTTTTCTATTGCCGTCATTTTTCAAATTTTCGATGTTGAGATTTCGCTCCTAATGCTTTTATCTATAATTATCAATTTTTCAAACGTTCAGCATGAGCTTTTACGGATTGCTTTTATCATTATCCTCCTTGAAGGTCTATAGCACGAAGAAAACCAAGGAGCATCAGAATGAGCTTATTGAAGTTACAGTCAAAATGGCATTTCATTTGCACTCAGAAAGTGCTCCTTTAGGAGCTAACTTCATTAAGTAAAAATTGAATTATTGCATTCGGTTTCGACCTGACCTTTGGTGCTAACTCACCTTTGCTTGTTTGGTTAGAGCCAAAGTAGAAGCTTATCACTGCTTATGATAGAAATGGAGTGTGATACCTCTAACCAAGGGAGCAGGTGGATCAAGGAGCTGCTAACTTCTCATTTGGGCGGTTAAACCCCGTTTGTCCTTGTTATCATTGTGTGATAATCTCATTACATTTTCATTGTAAAACTAAGGGTAAACAATCCTTTAAAAGCAGTGCATTGTAACTAAAATATACCTATAAATTACAGCAATCTCCTTTGCAGCTTCAGTGCAATGCTCCAATATAGAAGCTATAGAGGTAAATTGCAATGATTACTAATAATTACCCAGAGTGAAAAAATAATATATTTTTTGTACTATCATTTGGAACACCTGTAAGCTTTCAGATCAAGTTATTATAATAGAATAAATCCCCTGTCTTCCATAATATTCAGATCATCCTATATCTCCTACTCTATGATAAAAATCCTAAATTAAGATCCCCAGGTAAGCTATATTAAACTAAACGCATCGTATTACAAACCGTCAATTCAGTTGTCAGAGAATATGATAGGAAAAAATATATATATTGATAGCAGACATAAAAACAACTTCTGAATTTGTATCTTTAGAATGAAAACCAGCAAAAGAGAAGTTCCATTTAAAGCCAAATTTCTTAAATTTATAGATATTCCTGTCATTGTTATTCGAATGTCCTGACCTTCTTTTACACTATGATTACAGCTCCAGCACATACCAGTAAAAGAGCTATGAATAATTCATTTGTTGATAATGAAAAGGGCAATATCAGGACACCCTAATGACGAAATTCTCATTACTACTCTTAGTTGACATGAAGTTGATAAAGCAATAATATTTTTTAAAAGTCGTATCCAAAATTTACACCAAGCCCGGCTGTAAATATAATCGTGATAAAAGTAATAACACTATCCGAGATAAACGTCCTTGTAAAGCTGGGCTAAATCGAATGAATAAATAAACATCTGCTGTTACTAATGTAGACGAATGTACTAAAGCAGATACCGTAGTAGGGGCTATTACAGCTGCAGGCAACCAGGCAGAAAAAAGGTACTTGAGTACTTTTGTTAACAGCAGCTAAAACTACCAAACCACAGCAATCCACCATAATCCATTTAGGTATATTTTCCACAAAATAAAGAATTTGATTCTCCACAACTTAAAAGTTAAAAGATTGCAAACAAGATAGCTACATAATCTCCCCAATTTGAGACAGCTGTTAACATCCCAGGATTATCTGATTTTTCATTTTGATAATAGATAACCAGGCCGCAGGATACTAATCCTAAACCATCTCAGCCAAAAAGAATACTAATCAAATTAGGGATAATAATTATAAACACTATAGTTATTACAAAAGTTAACACTAAATACATAAGCCGATTTATAATTCTATCCCATATTCATTCCCCTCTGAAATATAATACTAAAGAAGATATTGATATTACAAACCCCAAAAATATGAAAGATATTCAAGGCAAGGTAAATGTTATTATAATAGATTTAGAGTTTAATCTTAGTAATTCTCATTCAATAAATCAAGCTTGACCTCTTCTTAAACATCATAAAAAACTAGGCAAATTAAAGAACCTCCGAGTAAAAATAATATCTTGATATATTGATAGTATTCATAAAGGTTTAAAATGAGTAATACTAAAACTCCGGTGCTGCAAACCGACGTTTAATTTAAGCTATTTATACTTTTATGTTATACATAATAGTTCCTTTTAAAATCAGAATATTTAGAGGCAGTAAGAGTAATAGTAAGAGGAAATACTCCTGCACCGTACCAGAACACGAAAACAAAGCTATGTAATATTCCCCATGTTCCCTTAAAGAAAATATATGTTAAGTATTATCGGCTCTAAAAAGACAATGATGAAATATATGATATTCTTACTTTTCTCCAAGATACTACTCTAATCATTCAGCTCATTTCACCTAAAAGATTTAAAGTAGGTGCTGCTATAGTATCCGCACTCAAAAGGAACTACCATAAAGCTACTCGAGGTATGAAATTTATCTGTCTCTTTACGATTCATAATATTCATCCTCCTACTCATTCGTGAACCATGTTAGCCAAAGAAAACAAACCGGAGAACACAATCCGTGCCCAATCATTACTACCCTTCACTCCTAATCAACCAAATACTACCAATCCAGATGACACTAATCCTATTTGGCCACGGAAGAATAAGCAGTTAAAGCTTTTATATCAACTCGCCGTAAACACATTAATCCCACTACTACTACTCCTACTAATCTAATTCTCACTCGCAGTCAAGCTAAATTTTTATTGGCTTGTCCGAACAAAGGTAATACTGCAATCAAGCCATGTCCCCATAGTTTGAATATATCACCGGCTTGCATTGTTGATCCCGCAATGGGTGCCTCTACATGTGCTTTTGGTAGTCATATGTGAGGTAAAAATAGGCAATTTTACAATAAAAGCAAAGACTGTTACTACACATCAAATACAAGAAATAAATCTTGTTCTCTTCATATTTTCAACTAATCAAGTTAATCTTCCACTTATGTAGTCTGATTAAAGATACCAACAAAGGAGAAGAAGCAAATAAAGTGAATAATAATATAGACCCTTGCCTGCTGATAACCTCACCCCAAGATAAGGATAAAAGTAGGAATTAAAGAACTCAAATCTAATAAAGAATAACAAGTAATCATTAACTGAAAAGTTATAATTAAAACAATAAAAGAAAATTATTAACAAAAAAAGGAAGAGTAATCCTCTTCCTTCAATACTTTTTGGCTAGAACAGACCGCAAGACGTTATTCAAAATCTCAATAAAATTAAAAAATTTATTCTAATGAATCAACATTAAAGCACAACTCTACAATAGTGGCTAAAATCGTGATGACAATACATTATCAAAATGAAAGAGAGTAAATAAAGACCTTTGCAAAGCTCACCATGAATTAACCGAGTGTATCAATATAATATAAGCCAACAAAAATTTTATAATATTAAAATTATAGTATTCTAAATCTAACACAGACATTAACATGTGTCCTCTCCACTGACGCCAAAAGAGCCAGCCCTAACGCCCCTTCACAAGCAGACAGGGTGCAGTCTTTTCCTGTAATTCAAAAGATTCTTAATATAATATATTTTAAACTCGATAAAGTGTTAAGCAAATGTTTACACTTAGAAACAAATACCCATAAACCACAGTTAACTCTTACCATGGGGACAATATAAAGAAAATTCCAAAAAAAAAAAAAAAAAAAAAGGCAAACATTTCCCACTTCTAGTGTGTGGTTGACCCTTTAGCCACCAGGGGGGGGGGGGCTGTCTCACCAACGCAGCCATCCATTAATGACGTGACAAAGCTTGTCGATGGAGCTGATGTCGGGGAACAGTTCCTAAGACAGCCTGCATCGACAATGAATTTTCCAATCTCAGAGTACGTAACATAGGCCTACACAGTCAACTATTTTGGAATTTCCAAATCCCTTTGACGAATGTTTGGTCGATTGGATCGGATTCCTTGCGCCTTTTCACCTCCCAAAGGAATTAGATACGACGTAAACCCCACTCAGCTTTTCAAGAGTGCAATGGAAAATAGGTTATAACAACGGTTTGTTTTCATGTACTTTTTTTTTTTTTTTTTTAACTATTTATTCCACGTTCATTGTTCTGCATTTTCTTTCCCTAATGATTTGTCCTCCGGAAATGGGGAACATTAAGCCAAGTTTCCCTCTTTTTCAGGATGCACTCCATTGTTCATAGCGTCCCAAAATGGTCACGTCGCTGTCGTTGAGTCACTGGTTGCCAAAGGAGCTGACCTCAACGCGAAGCGAATAAATGGTAAGTCAGTTGAGGTGATTGACGCAGCTATTCGTTGTTTCTTTTCTTTTTTATTAGCATTATTGAGTGATTTTACTGTTTTTTTTTCTCTCATGAGGTAAAAGGTGTGCATAGCATTGTTGATTCATCATTTTTATTGTGAAGGTGAGAATGATCAATTTTGTCATTCTCATCTCTTTGTTTCTCTTGTTTTTTGTTTGCAATTCGTTATGAAAGTTTGCAAAAATATATTTGTATCATTCGCTTTACATTTTTAATTCACAGAATTGAGGTGATAATAATGAGTTACAGGAAATACTAGTAAATTAGCATAAGACAGAAGTAGGATAAGGAGGAATATAGATCAAGGAGAACGAGAGAGAATATCATTATCATAATTATGGTAATTACTTGCAGTTGCTTAATTGAAATTCCAACTGTTACCATAATTACTGCTATAATTATCTCCTATTATTATTCTCATCACCATCTCCTTATCATCATAGTTATCAGTAGCGCAATATTCCTTTAGTTCGCTAAATATTTAGAGGGAATATCTAATATCTCCAGTATTGTCATTATATTCTTAAAGAACTTCCCTTATCTCATACTTTAACCGAAATGCACAGTGTATTTTTTAAGTACTAAAAGGAAGAAAGAAAGACGGCATTTATCTTTGCGTTAGTGTCTATGTTTAGAAATATTTTCTTCTGTTCCCTTCTCGCATCTAACGTTAATCACTCTTTTCCTCCCTCACTTCCCTTTTCCCTCCGCCCTCGTCTCCCTTTCCCTGTTCCTCGCACTCTCCTCAACTTTCCCTTTTTCGCACACCTTCTCTGCTTCCTCCCCCCCCCTACCACCCTCCCCCTCGATCCACCTTGCCTTCAACCGCTTCCACCGCACTCCTGCTGAATCATTATCATTATTGTCACTATTACTCTATTTTTGATGTCATTATCATGATCATCTTCATCAAGCGCGTTTTCATCCTCGTAGTATTATAATAGTGATGTGTGATGGTTATATATATCTTTATCATATTATTTATAACATTGTTGGTATTTCATTAGTGATATCATAATAAAAAAAAAAATAATAAAAAATATAGCCACAAAATGAATAAGCATACCCAATTAACGTTTTTGTTTCTTTTAAAATTCTATCAAATTATTTTTACCGGAGTCATTGCTGCTACCATAATTAATTTACGGAAATGGTAAAATAGCTATTACACTCGTCTTATCTCGTCTCCCTTCACACCGTCCTCCCCCCTTCCCTTCTCCTCACATCGAACTGAAACTTCATTTCACTTCAACCCCCCCCCCCCCCTCTCCACCATGCCCTCACCCGACCCCATCATGCTGCTGCTGAGCCCTTTATGATTGGCATTATTGTTGACATATTTAGTATATTCATTATCATTATCTCAATTACTCTTACTTTCAATAATCATAATAATCAGCGTGATACAGTTTTGAAACTTTGGCAATTTTCACGAGATCTTTATCAATTTTCCCTTTTCGAAAATAAATATATATCTCGTCAGTGCAAAAAAATAATAAACCTTATAATAATTATATCTAATGTTAATGATAATGATTGTTATAATGATAATGATAGCAGCAACAACATCTGAAACAATAATAGCGACATCAATAATAATAATAATAATAATAATAATGATAATAATAATAATAATAATAATAATAATAATAATAATAACTGTGATAACATGAACAACTTTAGTGGGAATCATAATAATAATCAAAAAAGAAGAAATAACAGTCACCATGATTATAATATAATATAATAGTGATAAGATAATGAAATTAACGAGATGCAGAATAAGTGTAGGAATATTAAATAAGAATATGTGCTGTGCAGTGCACTTGTAACGTGCTGGGCTTGCAATCTTGCTGACCTGCGTTCGATGCTCCGCACTACCAGTGAATGGTAACCCGGCCATTCCTTGCACACAGGGGAGATTTAGAGGCAAAATAAAACAGTATGTCACAGCAAAGAATATCCATTGTAGCAAATGGAATTGAAATTAAATCTTTAATTCGTTTAACTAAATCAAGAGTAGTGGCGGTGATAACAACAACAAGAATAACAGGACGATGTGTAATGTCAAGGATGGGAAAATGTTGATGCAAAAATGAAAATAAGAACAGGAAGAAGCAGCAGCAGAAGAATAAAATAACAATCAAAGTCGTCATTAAGGGAACACTAAGAGTAATAGTATTATAATTATCATAATATTCCTCAGGTTCATAATTTTTATGGTTATCATTATCATATTTACTTATTGCTGTTGTCATCATTATTCATTTTTGTATCGTTAAAATGATCATCATTTGATTGCCTGGAAGTCCAAAGGTGTTCTCAGACCCGTTCCCCGAAAATACGTTTATTAAGAGCTTGTTCAATTAAACTTCGTTTAAAATTAAGTAAAACGTAAGTGACGTATTTATAACTGGTGTGAGAACACCTTGATATATGTTGTGATTACTATCACTCTACTATTACAACTGTTATTGTTAATACTATCACTAGCAATTGCTTTGTTTAATCTCTTTCCTCTCCCTCCTCTCTTCTTTTGTCTGAAACGAAACGAAACATGAAATTGTGTAACATTTTAGGAATAATGCTTACTTAATATTATATATTCGAAGATATTATATTCGAATAGATCTGAAAATAATAAATTTAAGAAGCGAAAATGCATTTGATTTTATATAATGCGTTAAACTTTTTGCGGAAATTTTTAAAAACTAAGTAACGTTTTTTTTTTCTCTCTAAATATGTATAGATTTAGGTTGTGAAATTAATATCATTGTTATTATTATTATTATAATACCATTATTAGTATTATTAGCATTTTTAATATTACTCTAAATATTATCAGTTTTATTCCCGTTATATCATTATCATCACATTAACCACGGTAAGGCAATTTCAGAGACGACGGAATCAGTTGGTCCGGGTTTATTTCTCTTTCTCTTTTCATTTATTGATCTGCATTTAATTTTATGTCTATTTCTTTCCTTCGTACCTTTTTTATGCACATTCGTGTCTTCCCTTTTTTTTCCCGTCTTCCCTTCTTTTGTTAGCTCGTTTCTTTGTTTTTTTCTTTTAATTACCGGTATTGAATCGCATTTTGGGGTTAGCTTGAATTAGCAGGATTTTCTAGGATTGCTTATATATTATTATTATATGGTGATTATTCCTACTGTCCATTCCATTGCTTCTTCTGGTTGTCTGGTTTGCTCCATTATTCACCTCGTCATCGGTGTTCTCAGATTATGATGATGATTATGTTTCAATGACTGATCATAATCGGAGGCTGACAGGACGGAGGCAGGACAGGGCGAGGGAATCGAGGCAGGATGACGATGGAGAGGATGTGAGAGGGTCAATGCGCGTAGGCGTAGAGGGGATAGAGACGAAGGAAGGAGAGAGGGGAAGTGGAGGAGGAGAAGGGAAGGGGAGAACGGGCGGGGGATCGGTCATAGCGGAATGGCCTCTTGATCTCTCTCTCTCTTTTTCTCTCTCATTTTCACCAGAGTTGAAGAAGAGAGGCTCAGGCAGTAGGTCAAGTCATTTAAAAACACCGTCATATCATAATGCATAATTAACAGCCCATTGTGGTCAGTTAAAATAATTGCATTAATGGTTATTTGTGCTGGCATTCTTGCAACCATCTCAATTTCTACTACTGCCATTATCTTTTATGATTCTCATGCCATCCACATTTATCATTGGTGTAATGTACATTAGTGCAAAATAATAATCTATAGAAATATCCAATGTCTTGTTATTAATGTAGTTATTATTATGGTATTGTTGAAATTTTACCGTCATTATCACATTTTTTTTGGAAAGCAGACAATCATGTGTTCATAAGATCGTCCGTATATCATTGTCATTCTCATCGCCACCTGAATCGGTATCACTGGACTTGTTATGGAGGCAACCATGAATATCTTGATAACAATTTCATGAACTGATATGCTCCTGATTGCTGGACAACGTCAACATTACGATTATCATCATCTTCATAGGCATGAGGAATTCTATTATTATCATTGTCATCTATGCCATCTTTAGTACCGCTGTCTTTCCCCAAGCGAAGGCTGACTCCCGCTCCCTAATCGGAAACATCAGCGAACCTCCATAGGCCGTTAGAGTTCACTTTGGGAGCTGCAACGGAGAGGCAGGACAACGGCATTCACTATTGCCCTCGCCTTACGGTTAAAAAAGATATTTCCTTCTTTGCCCCTTTCCTCTATTTGTAGCTTATTTTAGTTTTTGTTGTTCTCCCTCTTTTCTTCCCTTGCCTCCCCTCACCTCACCCTCCCCTTTTAATCGTATCCCTCGCTCCTCCTCTGTATCCCTACCTTCCTTTCCTCTTCCTTCTCTCCCTCTCCCCGCTCTTGTTGTTGCTCTTATCTTCATTGTCACAATTATGATCATAATCCCCATAAAGGCGTTTCCCTTAATCATCATGGTAATTGTTGTCGATGGTAATGTGTTATAACTGTTGTCTTAAATGCCCCAATAGGGTTGAACTCGCTTTGTACAAAATATAGAATGATTAATTAGAGGAAATGTGAGGTGGGGCCGAACGGGGCTGAAGGCTTCAGGAGTCAGCATACTTATGTTAGTAGTGGTGGTAATAATAAGGATAATAATGTGGATGATAATCATAGCAGCGATAAAAGCAAGGAAATAAAGAAAATATTAATAATATCAATGACAATAATGATCAATATTTTTTATTGTTACTAATTACAATGACAATTAAATATTAAAGACACTAGTTATAGTAATAACGATACTCATTTTATCATTAGTGTTACCATTGTCATTGTCATTACTTTTGTTATTATTATGATGGTAACAGTAATATTGATTTTAATTTCTAATATAATTATTATTGTTCTCT